AAATAGAAATAAAGTTTTGTCCGGTATAACAAAAATCCGTTATAACGAGGTCCGTTATAACGAGGTTTGACTGTAGTATGTTTTCTTGGATTACCATATGGAATCTTCCAATGAAAGACGCAAAAGGTACGGACGGTATAAGTACAGGCAGGATACATACAGAATACACATTAATATGAAACAGACACGGAATTTATGGAATACGTACTAGTAATAGTACGGAAACCATACTAATACTAATACAGAATTCGTATTTCCGTACGTTGTTTGTATGCACTGCTATTACATGATGTATTAAGTATGAACACACGACACGAAGCACATCGGGATTTATATTTCTCTGTAAATCCCGTGTGCATTTTATGTGTCTCATGCCTTTGTGTTTTTAATACTGAAAAGGTACTAATACGGTAAAGTGCGTTTTCCAGTACCTATTCCGTACATTTTATACACTAACACATTAATATGGTTTACTCTTTTGAATTCCGTATGTTTCATACTGTTCATAATAACGTTAGCATGCTACTATTATAATTACGCATCCCACACCTATTCTACACCTTGTGTTAAATTTAAAAAAAAAGGAAAAATTTCATTCCGTGATTATTTTTTTAGAACATATTTAACATGCTAATACTGAAACTTTGTATGTTATTTTTTATAGAGCACCTCTACATGTCCTAAAAATGAATTGCAAACCACGAAATTGCGCGTATAGCATTTTAAAAAAATCTTGAAGGGGGTTTTTTTTATGGTAAAATCACAAATTGAAAAGATTTAATTACAAGCCGATTTTTGGCATTATTTTAAACCAGTCTATTTTTATGCTAAGATCAATAACATAAGTTTACTACAATATTGTAAATAATACAAAACTATTTATTAAACGAAGTTCTCTCTTATTTTTCGTTACCATTCAAATAAATATCTCCTAAACTATACATCACCACTATCAGCAGCTCTAATAAAATAACTTAATGGTACGATTAGTATTAACTTTGTTGATAAGTTTGTTCTTTTGGATTATCTTATTACATAAATTTGAAAACCAACAATCGATACCATTATTATAAAAACTTTTCGTTATACAATAAATTGGTTACGCATTTTATTATATTTCGCGATGTTGGAAAAGATTATGGTTTTTTCCAAATTATGCGATCATAATTTTTGAGCCAAAATTATACATTAAAGATAAAATTTTATTATATCGGTTATCCAGGAAAATCAAAATATATAAAATTTAATTTTTAATTGAATCTTCTTTTAAAGCCATGCATTTATCATCTAAAATACTTTTATAATTTGAAAAGGACCTTTCTCAGATACAGACAACCAAATATATTTTAATGCAATTGAATTTAGTGTTGGTAATATATTTGTTTTTTGATTCCAATAACTGTCTGAATCAATCATCAAAATTTCCATGCAAACCACCCATTCACATATAAAATTATCTGTATAGTCATTGAATTCTTTGATGATAAAATATGTTGAAATAAATTATTCTACTTTATTATATTTTCATACCATAAGGTCAATGAACCATATTCTCCACCTCTATTGTATCACTATAACTAGACTTGATTGGCTGTCTTTCATTACTTTCAAATTTTGATATCACGAATTTAATGATTATATATCAATTTTTAACCCTCTTGCTTGATTTATGGAACATTGAAAATCAAGCCTCCCCTAAAACTTTCTCAAGTGCAATTAGATTTCTAGTAAATGGATGAAGTTTATGTGAAGTTCAGAATACTTGGTTGTATTTAAATGCAACTTTCTATATATTAATATGTTAATTGGGGCATGCTGCAACAAAACCAGACAAAGTGAACATTGGTATTACCAAAGATTTCAGGGGTCAAATTTTAGTAATGTGATTAATAAAATCTTCCATTTGTTATCCTCTTGATATATAGAATTACCTCTATATAAAAATAGTTAATATGAAACTCATTTACATCAGATCTAATATGGAACCAAAGAATTATAGCACCATTAGAAGTATTTTGAAGAAGGAACAAGGTGAAAAAATTGCTCCTTACATTTTTAAATTAGCAGACACCAAATCTTTGCAAACATATTTAGACAAAGAAAGGATTATCTATGAAATTTATCAAGAGGAAAGAGTTTTCAAAAGAGTATTAGAAAATTCTAGTAAAGAATCAAGAAAAAAAAGAAAACTGGCAGAATAACTAAAACAAATAATTACATTTTTTTTCAACTTTGTTAATTTTTAATTTTCAATCAAGGTCATTTAGTTTCTTTAATCTTGATTTATGCAGTTAGTTGACCATTCTGCTGTAATTGTTCTAACTGGTTCTTTCATTTCTCATTCTCTGCCTCATAAGCATTTAACTTATTGACTAACTCTTGAGGGGCTAAAGTTTTCAATTGTTCAATTTCTGAGTCAATTTAATCATTTCTGCTTCTTGTTGTCTAATCTTATCTAACAACTCTTGTTTTTGTCTTTTACCTCACTTTTCTGATTTCTCTTGAAACTTGGCTATTTCCTCTCTTCTAATGGTTGACTATTATAAGTAAGATATCCTTTCACTTCACTTATTGTATTAATTGCATTAATTTCAGTTTCATTCACTACCATAAAAATTTAATTAACTCTACCTAAGAAGCCTCTAAGTAAGAGTAGTTTACTAAGAAATAAATGTAAAATAAACACACACACACACATAGAGAGAGCAAATAAAAATTAGTTTTTCTAACTTTCTAATATCTTTCTATCTATTTAATCATTAGTTATTAGATTTTTACTACTGAACGATCACTGCTATTTCTATTAATCTTAGGAACACCAGTAATCGCAGTAATCGATTTTAGTTATGATTACTAGTTTCTATTATTATTGTTTAGGCAAATTTGTTCTAATTTTATTTTTTATATTATATTATTTATTATATATTTATATATTTTATAAGGCAAAAAAAAAAAAAAAAAAAACTCACTGGTAAGAGTAATCCTTTGAATTGTGTGTAACAAACGACGTTATCTACACAGTAATGGTAAAATAAAATTTTTTTAATTCAGTGGACATTTTATTTGTTTAGTCAATGTTTAAAAAAAAAATTTTTTTAGTTTGAAAATTTTTCTTTAAACATAAATAATATTATATATATATATCCTTGCTAATTATAATGTAATGTTAATATATATAACTATTTATTTATTTATTAATAATATAGTTGGTAATACCATTCAGAAGAAGGACTTTTTGCTGAATAAAACAATTTTAAATTAATGAAAAAATTGAATTAGAATTATTAACTTTGTTTTTATTAATCAAAAAAATTCACAGCAACCAACCTTTACATAATAGTTCACCATTCAATCTAGTATTTATTTCAAATAATTTGCCATCTAATTCTCTGATTATCAAATTACATATTATTTTGATTTTGGGTTGATAATATTTTTTTACGTTTCATTGGTGTGATAAATAGGCTAGATTTACCCTCATCATCTGGAGTTCTCAATCCCGATTCAAGTATATATTTGTTTATATCTAATCAGCTTTTATTTATAATATACTGGAGATAATTAAGTAAGTACTAGTGATAATTAAGTATTGGTAAAAATTCAATTTATTTTTATTTTGTTTTTTTTTTTCAAAAAAGTAATTTTTGTACCTTGAGATCCAGAAAACTCGAAACAATTTTTTAATAAAGATATATTGATAATCGATGTCAGTAATGCTATTCTTTTTATTTCTCAAAATAAATACAGATTTTTGTACAGAATCGATAATTTGTACAGGAATACATTATGATCTGTCAATTTCATTTAAGAGTTAATAGTTGAAGAATGACATTGAAAAAAAATTTTTTTAAATCAGAACAAGAATACTATTAATGATGAAATACTTACTATAAGCTTGTACTCCATACAAATTTAAATGATTTAGCATGGAACTATTACCGCCGTATGTCCTTACTATTTTGTTAAGCATCACTTTCAACATCTTTGCAATTTTTAATTTATCATCAAAGAAATGTGAGTGACACCTCTGATTAGGCGAACTGCTGATTTCTCCTATGGCAAATTCTAATTTGATTGGTTCAATACACCAAACTATGTCTATTTTTCGTCCAGTGCTTTGGGTTTCACTATCATCTTTCTTTAAACCGTAATCTTCTGCTGATGCAAAAAGACACTTTTCTCTGCTTAAATAATAGGTGTTATCCATTAGTGCAATGAACAACTTTTAAAATAAATTCTAACATAGCATATGATTACTTACTAAAATGTTGCCATATCTTGAGTATAATCATGAAATAAACTAGACATCATTGTAGTAAAAAAGGATTCTCTGTAGTGCCTTTCTGATAAACTATCTTTCAATAATTCATTATCTCTTTCAATTGAATTTAATCTATTGGAAAAAAAAATAATAATTTAATAATGATACTAAATTTTTTTTAATACAAATAGATACACTTACAGTAAATATGAATAGTCCCATAAATATTTTTTGGAAGAATCTTCTCTTGTTAATATAAAATATTCATTAACGGCCCTTTTAAAATCGCTAATCTAATGAATATATGAAACATGTTAACCAGATTATTTTTGAGTTTCTTTTAAAAATAACAGCAAAAATCTTTGTTAGACAGTGTTATATATATACTCTAATCATATCTGATGCCATAGACTTAATATCATTATTATCAAAATTAAAGGACTTTTTTCGTGATTAAAGATAATGGTTTTTATATGAGATGGTAGTTCTTTTATAAATTTACCGTTGCTTCCTGGTGTTATATCTAGAATATCATAATACGCTAAACTATTATTGTAGAAATTGTTGGTCAATATTAATACGCATATAAATTATACATGACAATATTATTAAAAACGTACTCATTGCAAGGCCGTTCCTTTTTTTCCTTCCACTCTACCAACGCTTTTTCAACATCAAACGAGCCAATCATGTATTTAACGGAGCCCACAATCATTTCTTTCATTAATGATTCAAGTACTTCATTGTCAACAACACTAGAAGTGTTAACACATAAATTGTTAAATCGTCAAATTGCCAAACTACTAAAAATGATATTGAAAGCAGCCTTACATGGGAATATTTTCGGCTTCTATTGATTCGTTCTCTTTTTTGTCTTTTTGATTTTTAAATAAACTGTCATTATTATTACTATATGGTATTTGTTGATTAAATATAATGTTGTAAAGTTATATATAGAATGATGAGTTGCTGTAATATCAATCACTATTTTTTAAAAAAAACAACTATATAGTATAGTGCCGAGCGGCGATAACCACCACCACCATTTTTACAATAAACAACACTTACCCGTGAATATTCTCTTGGTTATGATGGTCTTCGCGACTTCTTTTATTATTAATTTTATTACATGGCATTTTTGCAGAAAAAAATAAAGAAAAAAGAAGTTTGTGATTTGATCGATGCGTACACATTAATTATTTATCCAATTGGTTTTTTTTTGGTAGGACAGACGCGATTGATTTTTTTTGGAAAAACAATTTATTTTTTGACAGATGACAAAACGTGAGTGATGTTATTTGGCATGATTGGGCTCTAAAAAGAAACATGTTAATAATCAACTAGAGGTAACTTTTTTTTAATTTGCATTGATATGTCATTTAAATCAAAGCACGGAGCAGATCTTGCTGGGTAATCATAAGATTCTCATCAAGATGTAAACAATTGGTATTTGGCTTTTCGTAATCAATAATAACATTATTCTTAATATTATTATAATTAATTACAAGAAAATGTCAAGGTGATACAAGGAAGTGAAACATTTCGATACATGATGTTTGATTATCGGAAATTAGACAAGCATTGAAGCACGCACGCTACCTTGACACTTACAGTCATTCTCTTACATTCCTCGTGTGCACAAGGCTAATCTGACTGAGTCACCCTCAATGATATGATGATGCAACAGAATTCCAGGGGAGGGATGTTTGGCCCTGGAATTTACCGAGATTGCATCAATCGTCAAGGATGTTTTCACTAATCTTCCCTCACAGCACCCAGACCAGAGAAGGCTGCTGCCATGTTAGACAAAAAGTCACCTGCAATCATCCTAGGGTAAGTATGGCTCTGTGACCAAGCTATCACAACTCTGGAGGAATATTAAGAGAATCTGCAGCTCGTTTCAAGCACGGGAGGTTATGGTGACCCTGAAGTTGTA